GAAGGGGACTGAGGGTGACAAAGAACAACTGTGCTCCACAAGACACACCACAAATAAGCCTGTACTACCACCTCTGCCCTTAACACCAGCTGGATCAACCAGTGTTCAGCCTCTTTGTCCAAAAACACTGTATACGCATCCCTGGCTCGGTTTGCCACACTACTATAATGTCCTTTAATTCTATAATACTTTTAGGGAGTGCTCTTTTGGCTTTCCTTTCTATCTCCCTTCCTTATCTCTTACCATAGTATTTGCCTGTCACTGCTTGTGATGGTTAATTTTATGTGTCTACTTGGTTACAGTAGCCAGATAGTTGGTCAAACACCAGTCTGGATATGTCTGTGAAGCTATTTTTAGGATTAGATTTTGTAGTCTTTGAGTAAAGCAGATTACACTCCATAATTGGGTGGGCCTCATCAAATCAGTTTAAACCCTTGAGAGGGAAAAAAAACAACAAGGTCCCCTAAAGAAGAGGGAATTCTGCCTCCAAAGTGTCTTTGGACTTGAGTTGCAACATCAACTCTTCCCTGGGTCTCCAGCCTGCAGATTTTGCAATTCTTGTGGATGTCTGGCTTTGCCTCACTTCAACGAGTGCCAGTTGTCTGGCTTCTCTCCTGTTGCCGTACTTCTCAGATGCAGCACACTGTTCATCTTGTTAGTTCAGAAGCCTGCAAATGACGATTACATATTCAGCAGGTCAAATCTGAGAATTTTTTGAAATGAAAAAAATATATTGTTGCCTGGCTTGATCTAAAATTAGGGAAATTGAATTAACTGATGAAAAAGAGGAAAGGGTATGTGTTAGAAATTTATGTAACACCCTCGTCAATAGATATTTTATCATACAGACCCCAAATGAAGGAAAACTAGATAATAGAAAATCAATATATTTCAAATCATATCTAATTCAAAACAACTACTATTTTTCAAGCAAACATTTGACTTTTTAATAGGAATAGCACATACATGCAAATCAATAATTTTGGTTCTTTCTTGCAGTCTGATAGTTTTTACATTACTGGACACCTGAGTATGCTTGCCATCACCTGCAAATATGTATGAAAAGTTAGTTTCTGGTTGATTAGGAATATGCACATCCATTGGTTTCATGTTGGTAACAGATGTCTTGGCTTTTACAGACTAATTGATAAAAGGGGCGAAAGGGGATAATTAAAGGGGCGGGAGGAGACACAGGGAAAGTGCAACCTTCCTGTGGGGGAAAATCTAACAGACCTCCTTATTACGGGTAATTACCTCTTTCTTCAACTGCATCTGCTGTCTCTTTCCATAGGACTCAAGTTGAGTATACCAGGAATGTATAAAATAAAGAAACATAAGGCTGGACTAGTCTGATAGCAACCAGGTTTATCCTGTCATGGAATATTCTAGTATAATTGACTAATTTAACAGCAGATTAAAAAAAAACCATGAAAGCCTGAGTGTAATCACTAATGGAAACTTATCTTTTAATTGGCAACACAAGGGTTCTGTGATGAGGATGGTTGACATAAATATGGTTTAATTATGTACAAAATGTGACTGTCTAGTGGATCAGTGGGAAGTGAAAAAGGCAAGATTGAATATGCTGCCTGTTAGATGTACACTTTAGGCTCTTTTAATTTGCTGTTTGTTCTGTCCGGGCTATAGTACTGCCAGTTGACCTGGAATAAATGAGAACATGTAGCAGATGTTTGATAATCGTCGACAAATTCTCCATTTTGCCAGTGTTTTCCATTGCACAACATTTAAAGTAAGGTGTCATTTACTATGTCTTAGCTATATTACTTAGGTCTGTATTCTTCTGATTAATATCTTTTACTTTAAACTGAAGGAAATTTTATAGCCTGTTAAACAGTCAGTGAGTGCTCCTATTATTCCTTGATGAAAACTGGTATGTCATCATTCTTATAAGGAGCTAATATTGCTTTGAAGAGAAAGTATCACGTTAGGTACTTAGAAGCGTCCACTCAATGCAAAATTCAGATAACCCAAAAGATAAGCTTATTTATGCTTGATGCAAGGCACGTGCTCAACACTTTTATTGGACCACCTGTCTTCTCAGAAAATAGGTAGGTAAAATTTGTTTAAAAATATCAAATGCAGAAACAAAAAACTGTACTTGAAAAATAACTAAATAAAATTAAAAAAATATATCAAATGCTTCAAAAGGTTATTAGGACAATACAGATCAAAATCTCAACTATTAGTTAACTATTAATTCCTCTCTACTGTCTTATAATTATATCGTATTCACAATTTCTAGAAACTAATGAGGTGGGAGAATGGTTTCTGTCCCCATTTAAAAAATACCAGCTTTGGTAAAATAGAAGCAACATGGCTCAAGTAGTCTAGTGGCCACACATTGATTCAGTCACTTGATCTTTTTGAGCCTCATTTCATGACCTATAACATGGAGACAGTGACAGGTAAATCCCACAGTTGCACTGGGAAATATACACAATGATAAATACATGAAAAACTAACACATGTTTAGTTGCTATTTACAGTCGTAGTCACTAAGTGGGTCTGTATTCCTTAGTTGCCTTGGTTTCCAGGCTAGGCTTCTCTTGGAAGTAGAAAATTCCAGGAGACTCTGATGAGTCTAGTAATAAATGGATCAAGTATGGAAGAAGACCTACTCTTCCCAACTTCAGCCCCTTAAAATATGAGATTGAAGAATAACCACAGTGGAGTCAGTTTCTTTATATCAAAGGGTTTTCTGTATTTTGTAATGGTAAAAATCCATAAATTGTAAATTCATAAGTCATCAAATCTTGGGACCATGTGTGACTTCAAGATTTGTGAATCCACGTCCCTGTTCCCAGTTTATTTCTCATTTTCAGAGGAGGGCAGTGAGAGCCTGTGTGGTTATTCATCTCCAGAGTCAATCAGAGAGTGAGAGACAGAGCTGGGCCTGGGGCTTTCATCTCTCCCTGGACCTTTATCTGGACCATCACCAGACACTGCCCTGTTGTGGGAGTGTCTATCTAGGTTCCTGCAAGAACAATTAAAAGTACGATAAAACTGAACTCATTGGGCAGAGCAAAAGGAGATGTATTTCCTTGTTATACCTTTTAAGTGATCCGTGCACCCTAGTTTATTCAGCCATTCCCTTATGGATTACAAGTATATCTTGATTGTTTGCATAGGACAATAAGCTTTACCTCGTCCAGTAGGAAAAGACATAGTCACTAATATTTACATAGCACTTTATATGTACCAGACACTGTTCTAAGGACTTTACATACATTAATTATTCTTCATAATAATATAGGTTAATTTTTTCATCACAACTGTACGAAGAAGTATATTTTTATCTTTCATATAAGGAAATGGAGGCCCAGAGGGGCCAGTAATGCCCAAGATTACAAAGCTAGGGTAACTAGCTTTGAAGGCCTTAGTCTGGTTGGAATTGGAAGATGCCAGAGAGAGTTCAATTTCAAAAGACACCTGGGTGAAAGGATCCACATTGTATGAACTTACTTTTATGCAAGGAAAGTGATTTAAAATGCAAATCACCCAGATTTTATATATCTAGTTCTACTGACTCCCAATTCAGATAATAAAGTTCTTTCAGAGCACATAAATGTCAACAACATCATATATTGATATTGATCACCATTGGAATAAATAGAAGAATGAGCCATTATGCTTCATCTAAAGTCCATAGCAAAATTGTATTTTATTTTATGATTGTATTTCTCTTAGCATGTAAGAATGAAAATGTTTATGGAGATGATATTTCAGTAGTCAAGAAAAATTATCAAAACAAGAGATAATTTCTATTAATTAATTTGTATTTTTTCTTTCTTAGTCACCTACTTATTTAGAAATGTTACCCATATTTGTTCTTACACTGGTATTTGAAGTTGAGTATATTAATTGCCACTTATGTATAAAATATTCTGTAGGTATAAAATCAGCTCCAATTTGACTAATAATTTAGACTTTTATCTGAATGAAAATGATTGCATGGTAAAACTTTGGATACCCAGGTAATTGCAGAGGGGGATAGTTATGATTTAAGAAAAAATTTATTAAAGTAAAAATACAAAAGGTTTATTCAGATTGTACTATTTTAAAACAATGTGATTAAATAAAATTTAAATAAGTTACTCACAATCTCAGGACTTTTCTGGCTGAAAGATATTTTACATCAAAACAGAATTACTGTACCACTTGGAACATGTGAGTTAATATGTGTGTGTGTGTGTGTGTGTGTGTGTAGTGGGGAGTGTGGAGGAGACTTGTGAAACAAACAAATTTAAAAAGCACAATCTAGTTTGTGAAAGTTTTATTGCAGTAGATATATAAAATTCTACAATTGATGTGCTTTGCTTTATTGAATAGATGTGCTCATTAAAGAAAATTGCCCGAAGGTCATGATCTCTATTCAAAGGACTCTTCTTCTAATATGTGTTCTTTAAGCGTAAAGGGGAGTGTAATGACTCATCAGTGTCTTAAAGGTACTATCAGAATAACAACTATGTTAAACATCACAGAATGTGCATCTAAAGAATCACACTATTTTTTTAGAGCTGTGAATATCTGTGGTCAGGCTTGTGTTTAGCACATTCACTTGCTTACAGCAGTGAGAGAGAATGAACACAATGAATTGGATTGCCTGGTTCTGTAGCTGCTGTGCTTAGTGCCCCCTTGGTCTCTGCGTCACTGTTTTCTAGTGTTTCATAGGAGCTAGTGATTTAGGAATGAGCTGATTGAACTTAAGGAGAAGGGATTTAGACTATGGATGAGAAAGTTGTTTTAAAATATAAAAGCAATAAATTCACAAAAAAATACAAGCAGAGTGATGATTGGGCAACCTGTTTATCAAAACACGCGACTGGAAGTTAATATGTTTAGCATGTGCTTATCCAGTGTTGTTCATTTAATCCCTATCTCAATTTTCATTAAGACTGAATTTCTACACTTATTATGAAACAAATTTGCACGATGAAGATCTTTTGTATCTTAAAGCTTTTTTGCCTTATACTTTTCAGGGCTGAAGTGTGTATGTCTCTTGTGTGACTCTTCAAACTTTACCTGCCAAACTGAAGGAGCATGTTGGGCTTCAGTTATGCTAACCAATGGAAAGGAACAGGTGATCAAATCCTGTGTCTCTCTCCCAGAATTAAATGCTCAAGTCTTCTGTCACAGCTCCAACAATGTTACCAAAACTGAATGCTGCTTCACAGATTTCTGCAACAACATAACACTGCACCTTCCAACAGGTGAGGGGTTTATCTCTGCTCATTCCAAATGCTCTTTGGAAATCATGCACATGGGAGAGATTGACCTGTTTTATGTTTCTTTAAATATAATCTATTTTACAATTCTCTTTCTTTCTCACTATTTTTTTCCTTTGGACTGGTAAAATTCTCTAAAGCCTAGCTGAGGTTGATTTCTTAAAATTGTGCAAGACTGTCAAAACCTTGACCACAGCATTATAGTCTTGAAAAAATTTGTCCGTGTTAATTGCATTTTTAGCAGTGATTAATGGACCTAAAGTAAATGTAAATTTTTATGACCTCTTTTAAAGGAAAGACATATTAATGTACACCAGGAAGAGAAAAAAGAATGAAACTTAAAAAATTATAGATTTACAACTTTTATGAAGACAGAATCTTTTTTTATGGGTACCTTCTGCATGGCTTCCTCTTTTCAAGATTTTATTTTATTTATTATTTATTTTTCCCACTTTTAAAAATTTTTGTTCAATTGCATGGCTTCTTTATGTGCCCACATTCATGTGAGAACATTCATTAGCAGAAAGATATTATTGTTCAGATGTATTTTTGCTTTCCCCCAATTTCATGGTGTTTTATCCCAATTTGTAGGATGCCAAAAATCTTAATCTCACCTTTTGTCAGCAGCCTGGAATCAAAAATTTGGGGAGATATTAAAATGCAAATAATTCAAACTAACAACTAACTTATGACATGAAAACATCATGTTAATGACTCTTTTCAATATTTATTAATATAGTAATAATTCAGAGCTTATTGATATATTAGTATCTATATATGGACACATACTCTTTCTTATAAATTAACATTTTAAGGTACTGTTATCCAATCTCCGGTGTTTGTATATCTCCATATCAATATTCCATTATAGTATTTTAACCTATTTTTAACATAAAGGGGTTATCCTCCCCACCCTTTTTTTTTTACTGAAAAACATTTGTTTTACTCAGGACCTTGGAATCATTACCACAAATGAAAAGCCAGTTTACTTGCCATAAATAGATAACTACATTAAAATTAAATGTATTTCTGCATTACAGGTAGGTATATTTTGTATTTCCTTGTTGTTTAAAAGAGAGAATAAAGAGGTTTTAAATGCATACAAGCATGGAATGAGGCTTTTTGATTCCTAATCAGAAAAAATTAAGAGAACCAGAAAAGTGATCATGCTGTGTACTGTCATGTCTGGTTTACCATTCCGACTCATTTCCAGAATCCTTAAACTCCTTTCATGCACTGCCACTGGCACTTGCCCAGCTCTCTGGGAAAGACTGTGCTGTGAGGCGTTACTTATATATTGCAACCTCAGAAGTTATACTTGGCCTATTTCATCCTGCTACCTGCAATCTTGCTTTTTGGCCTACACTTACTCTCTCTCAGATTCCATAGAGTCCTCAGTGTGGTGGTGATCTGGCATCTATTCTGGATACAGTTTTTTCTTTATATTTGCCCCCTGGTTACCTGTGGGCCACAGACACCCTAAAGGGAAGGCTCCCTATATTTGATGTTAGTCTGACCCATGACCAGGATCCAAAAGATTAAGTAGAAGAAGGATGTCTCCTTGTTAGTCTGTGGTAGTAGTCTCTTCAATATGCCTTCCAAATAAAAAAATTAATTACAAGACCACAGTCTGCCACTCAGTAGGGGTATAAGACAGTACTTCCACTGCAATAAGAGGGCTTGGAGGACAAAATGGTTCATGGGAATTTGGGCAAATTGAAGGTACTTAGAGCATATTCTATGTAGGTTCTTCCCAGCCCAACAAAAACTCAGCCTTACTGTGGAGAAATCTATACCCTCTCTCAAGTATGGTCAGGAACCATTCATTTTTAAAACCAATTTTATTGAGGTTAATTTAGAAAATGAAAAAAAATGAAACACACACATTTTAAGTAAACAATTTGGTGAATTTTGACACATATGTACACCCACTACCACAGTTCTATTACCTCAGAATGATCTGTCAGTCCCCACTTTCATTAAAGCTAGATGACTGATTTCTTTTATTTTAAAAAATATGTTGTATTGATTATGCTATTACAGTTGTCCCATTTTCCCCTTTCATTCCCCTCCACCTTGCACACCACCTCCCACCCATATTCCCCCCCTTTAGTTCATGTCCATGTGTCATAAGTTCTTCAGCTTCTACATTTTCCATACTATTCTTGCCCTTCCCCCATTTATTTTCTACCTACCGTCTATGCTACTTATTCTCTATTCCTTTTCCCCTCCTCTCCTTCTCCCACTCCCCTGTTCCTAACCTTCCATGTGATCTCCATTCTGTGGCTCTGCTCCTGATCTAGCTGTTTGCTTAGTTTGCTTTTGTTTCAGGTGTGGTTGTTAATGACTGAGTTTGCTGTTCTTTCACTGTTCATATTTTTATCTTCTTTTTCTTAGATAAGTTCCTTTAACATTTCATATAATAAGGGCTTAGTGATAATGGACTCCGTGAACGTGACATTTTGCTTCATTTCACTTAGGGTAGCCTTCATTTTTTCATCTAATTTGAGACCACAGTCAACCAATTCTGTGAGCATCCTGATCACCAGGGTTTTGAACTGTGCATCTGATAGGTTGGCTATCTCTTTGTCGCTTAGAAATATTGGCTCTGGGGCTCTGAGCTGTTCTTCTGCTTGAGCCATAATGTTTTGTTCTGTTCATGCCTGTTATGTATGAGGGGCAGAGCCTTAGGTGTTCACCAGGGCGGGGTAGCCCATTCGCTGGGCTGTGACTGGGGGAGGGGTCAGAGAGGGAGCTATGGTGCTTGCTCTGCTCTCTCTTGGATTTCAGTCCCTTCTGCCACTTCCTGCAAGCAAACCTCGCCCTTCTGGTGCTGGTTCCCAGGTGGGTTGGCTTGTGTACATTCTAGGACCCTGTGGGTCTCTCTAACAAACTCTCCTGTGAGGCTGGGAGTCTCTCCAAGCACCTGAACCTCCACAAGTGTTTTCAGTTGGTGCTTTTAGGACTTATTTGCCATCCCAGGGGTGCTGGGTTGCGTGGTCTATCTTGCTGCCCATTTTCGCCTGGTTTATCTGCATGTGAATGTGTGACTGCAGTCAGCCAGCTACCTTGCGCACCTCACTGGGTCTGCTCATTGCCACCCTGTGCCTAGGTCTGCCAGCCTCCGCCAGTGTGCCCAGGTCCACCAGCCGCTGCTTTTTCCTGCTACAACCCCTCTCCGCTGGCCATCAACCCAACCCCTCTTACTGGTCTGGATGAATGGTTGTCGGACTTCTGCACAGTTCAGTTTTCTGTCAGTTCTGGTTGTTTTTTTGTTTCTAAACTTTTGTTGTCCTTAATTTTGGTTGTGTGAAGAGGTACAATGCATCTACCTATGCCTCCATCTTGGCCAGAAGTTGATTTATTTTCTATTTGTGTCAATAGATTTTTTCCCTAAAATTTCACATAAAAGAAGTCATTGGGTACTTATTTTGCATTTGGTTTCTTTCACTTGGCGTGTTTTTTGAGATTTATTCATGTCACTGGGTATATCCATAGCTTGTTCCTTTTTTTACCTCTGAGTAATATCCCATTGTTTGAATATACTATTGTTTTTTTGTTTTGTTTTGTTTTTTGTTTTATCTATCCACCCACTGATGAGCAGTCAGGGTATTCCTATTTTTGGACTGTTATTAATAATAAATAAGCTGCTATGAACATTCACATGCAAGGTTTTTGATAGATGTTTTCATTTTTCTTGAGAAAGTAACCTAAGACTGGCATTGCAGGGTTATATGATATACAACTTTAGAAATATAATTTTCCTATGAGTTTTGAATTGCTGATAACATCTTACATCTCTAACAGAAATGTACGATAGTTCCAGTTGGTCCATATTTTTGTCAAGATTGGTATAATCAATTTTTTAAAAAAATATGAACTGTTCAAGTGATATATAGAGTTGTGGCATTTCCCTGATAACTAGTGATGATTCGTTATTTTTACATGTGCATATTGGGCATTTGCGTATCTCTCTTTATAGAGTAACAAGTCATTTACACATTTAAAAAATTGTATTATCTTCTTATGGTTGAACTTAACAATTCTTTATGTATTCTGAATACAGGTCCTTCATCAGATGTGTATATTATGACTATTTTTCCTGTGAATTGACATTTCGTTTACTTAAAGGTATCTTTTGTAGATTAAAATTCTGTGAAGTATATTTTACCCTTTTTATTATTATCATGATTCATTGTTTTGTATCCTAATTGAGGAGTCTTTATCTGAAGGTCAAAAATATTTTCTAATAAAAATTTTAACATTTAAGTTTTCATATTCAGGTCTATGTTCAGCTTCTTGATTTTCATAGCTTTATAAGAAGTATTAAAATTAGGTCTTGTGATCCTTTCAATTTTATTCTTTTTCAGAATTAATTTGGGTATTTTGCATCCTTTGCATTTCCATTTAAATTTTAGAAACAGCTTGACAATTTTTACAAAACACATGCAGAGATTTTGATTACAATGAGTTGAATATATACAGTAGATTAATTTAGAAAGAATAGTCATGTTAACAATAAATCTTTGGTTCATGAACATAGTATGTTTTTCCATTGATTTGGTTTTTCTTCAATTACTCTTAGTGGTGGTTTATAGTCATCAGCAAACAGGTCCTATACATTGATCTTTGACTTTATCTTTAAGTGTTGCATACTTTTGGATGCTATTGTGAATGGTATTATTAATATCTTAATTTCTAAATGTTAATTGCTATTATATAAAAAATTAATGCTGTATATTCACCATATTTCTTACAAGCCTGTAAAATAACTCATATTATTTTTAGTAGATTTTTTCCAGATTTTTTGACATTTTTACATTTACAATCACCTGTGAATACAGACAGTTTTACATCTTTAACTCTGATCTCTATGTATTTTATTTCTTTCTCTTGCCTTTTGCACTGGCTAGGACTGTCAATCAGATGACTAGGAATGGTGAGACTGCCTTTTTTCTTGTCCTAGCAGGGATGTCCCCACTCTT